CGTCGTCATCATCGTCATCATCGTCGTCATCGTCTATGGGCTTCCTTAGGCTTCGATCCATTCTTCCATTAATGTGCGTTACATTATATTTCGTGCCAAACATAATTTCCACTGACAATGGTGATAAATCAACCTCACCACCACTACCATCATCATCATCATCATCATCATCCTCCGTGACGTCATCATCATCATCCGTGACGTCATCATCATACTCTGTGACGTCACCGTCAATTTCGTCACCATTTTTGGCGTCGTCGTCATTAGGTTTGGCATCGTTCTTATCGTCATCGGCGTCATCATCAGCGTCATCTTCGACAACGCCATCATCATCAGTGCCAACAGGAAAGGCCTCATTCCACTTAGCCTCAGTGCATTATGCTCCTGAAACATTAGAGCGAGTACCGCCAACTAAATTTAATAAACAACTACTTCAAATTTACCGACGACAGCAGAAAAAACAACAACAACAACAACTTCAACAGCATCAACAACAACAACAACATCAACAACAACAGCAACAACAAAGACTTCAACAGCAACAACAACAACGTTTTGACAGTCACCAACAACACGAACTAATTCAATATCACCATCGCCTAGGTCTTCCACATTATCGTCAGCACCACATTCACCAAAAAAGATTAGATCAACAACAACATCATCAACAACAACAACAATCTAAAAACACAGCAGAACAACAAACACAAACCCAAAACGTGAACGACGAGCAGATAACTCGCTCTCCATCCATAAACAACATTAAAAAATATGAATCCACAATTATGAAGAAATACAACAATAGCGATAGAAACAACGACAATCACTATTCTAATTATCGTAATAAGAATGACGTCATTACAAGTGATGTCATTATCAATAACAATGATCATAAAAATGGCGATCACTTTGATGGTAGTAGCATGGAGGAAGCCCAAAATGTTGCGAGAAAAAAGCCCATTACAGTATTCAGAAGCAAGGTCACTTCGGGTTTGTATAGCAAAACAATTAAAAAGGTGAACAATAAACACAGAGACAGTAGAAATGTTGTCAAACTAATTGGCGGCAACAACAATATAAACTACAACGACATCGTCAAAAACATAAGCATGGACAATATGTACAACAACAAAAACACCACAAATGGAGACTACACAGACAAAAAAAATATGATCAACAACAGCAAAAACAACAATAATACGGACAGCAGAGAACACCGGAAAACTGATAACAACAACAACACTCGCGTAAACAAAATTTACAGCCATCTCAATACAGATATCGACGGTTACGACTACACAAACGCAAAATACAGGCGCAACTACAACGACATAAACGTCCATACGAACGACACTACAACCACCATGACCACCACTACCACTACTAGCAACTACGATGACGACGACAACAGCCACACTACAGACGGCATCCTACATACGATTTTTGCAGAAACTTCGAACACCTCTCTAACAACTTACTACAATTCCATTGCGCAGTTTCAGAGCTCGAGAATCATGATCGTCATATACGCATTCATTTACGTTTTTGGATTCACCGGCAACCTCCTAATTGTAAAAGTCTCATTCTCGATCTTGTATCGCCAGAAAAGATTCTCAATAGCAGGCAGCTCTCTGAATCAGAGGAAGCAAAACAGCGCTATATCAAGTAGCCGCTACATATTGAACCTAGCGATTGCCGACATATTTCTGATCAAGACGCTACCACTAACTTGCTACGCCACTTACTACAACTACTGGCCGTTCGGTGACGTTGGCTGCAAAAGTCTATACGGCGTGCGAGAAATAAACAGGATCGACGGCATATACACGTTGGTGTTCCTTTCTTTTGACCGATTTTGCGCTAGTAACTACAAGTTGGAAAGGTTTCGTACTAAAAATATTGGAACCTGTATTTGTTTCAGTCTGTGGATATTATCTGCTGGTGCTTCAAGTTTTTACTGGTACAACGCAGCGGTTGTCATTGAAGATGAAGAGCCGGACTGCTTCGGGAATGAAGACATGAAAACGTCAGTGAGGAGATACTTTGGAAGTTATTTGGAGGCCTGCAACGTCGAGTTGTATCTGGATGCGTATGACGACGACGATGACGAAGGCGGTGATGCTGGTGGCAGCTATCACGGCTGCAAGTGTTCCGAAGATGACGCTGGGATGAATAAGGACGACGACGATGAGGATGAGAGTAAATGCGATGTTGTTGATGATGGTGACGACGATGGGATCAACAATGATGAAGTTGATGATGACGGCGCCCATCAACTTGGTAGTAAATTTAATGGAGAGGCTATAGCATCGAAGAGTGATGACCACGGTAATATAAGCTACATCAGCGCGCGCGCACGCACTGAAATTATAAACAAAAATAATAAAAGTAACAGCAACAACAACAAAAATATAAACAACAACAACAATAACAATAACCAATGTGACAACAAATTAAAACGCAAAAACAACAACAGCAGTGGTGGTAGCGAGTTGAAAAC